GCAGCGGAAGCTTTGGCTATTGTAGAGCGACCCGACGTCATCCGAAAGTGGTTTATGAATTTTATGCTGCTGCTTCTGTTCGCTGCTGGAGGACAGAGGCCTCAGACGTATACAAAGCTACAAGCACCGAGTGCAGGGGAGTTGCGAGATATGAAGGAACAGGCGGCTCGAATGCCGTTTTTCGAAGTGAAGACACTTTTTGAGAAAACGAGGCGGTCTCTGGATATGCCAAACGTATTGGTGCCAGCTCATGCTATTAAGTATTTTGACTTTCATGTCAGTGTGATGAGGAACGTAGTGCTCCGCCGAGCAGAAGTGGAGGAATCAGATTTTATGGATAGGCCTCTACTGATGCATACAGAGTATGGAACCGAGCTGAAAAGCACGCAGGTGATATCTTGTCTCCGGTCCTTTTTAACCTACAACGTTCCCGAGATGAAGTCAATCACAGTCATGGCGCTTAGAAGCAGCTACGGGACCATGACCATGCGTGCGTTTCGAGAGAAAAGGATTTCCGCGGCATGAGCGAGAATGCCTTCCTCGGCATACTGGCAAAGTACATGAACACGTCGCCAGAGCAGCTGATGACTACGTATATTGGAATTGACAGGTCGGACTTCGAATCGTCCGCCCGCGAACTTGTAAGGGTTCTTGACTTCGACAACGATAGCTCAGAAGAGGATTCAGGACGGGGCAGGGGGACTTCAACCCGCACAGAAAACAGTCGTAGAATGTCTTACGAAAACGTATTGGGTCTGTAGAGGTATAGTTGCGTGTGGGAAGGGGGCGGCGTCATTGGAAATTGAGCTCAAATTGGTCTGCATGCGCTTTTCATGTTGAATGAATAAAGAAATCCGGACAGGACGGGACACGAAAACAAAGTCGAAAGTCTAGCGATGGCGGCCATGGCTGCGGCATCTCACAGCCGAGGTAAGGATAGATCTGTTGATTCGGCGTGAAGTCGCGGTCGGGTGTTGGACACGTTCTATTTGTTTGGCAGAGGCGTCTGATGCTATCATGATGTGAGCGACAGCGAGCGGTGGCGTGGGTGGCGTGGCGAAGAGGTCTTAACAGCCGGCGGGCGTCGTGCCACGGCTTTGACGGCGTGACAGGACGCGAGATAAGACGCGAGAAAGGGGCAGACGGAGTGTGGAGTCTAGAGTCAGGTGCGGAGAGAGAATTACAAGTGCCGGCCAGTTGGGAGACTGCGTGTCAAATGTAGAGTGGAATTATGGGAGTTGCGAATGACAACAGCAGCGGCAAGTCTGGTCGGACCATCACAGAGGGCCAGTCGTGGGTAATGGCTCAGAGCAGCGAAGCCATTATCTCGAGTGATGGCTCGATTGTTTTCTGAAATGGATGAGGACATCAGAGGGGGCAGGGACTCAATGAAGAATCTACAAGACGACATTGACAACAAATCTTGGGCGTTGAAACGCGAAAAAGAAGCAGCCTTCGTCACGATTTGTACTTGCTGTGTTATCTGTCAATCTCACCAAGATCCGATCCGTCATCCACCATCGCTCGCCACTTGGACCTTGTCGGAGCGAACTGATACCATAACCCCTACTTCGCCGTTGCAGCATTATAGACTGGCGATGGCACCCCACGCCTATAAAACTCTGTGGATGTTCGCTCGCGGTCCCGCCCACGTGCTGAACAAGTCCGCTTGGGTTCGGATTTGCCTTCAAGCGTATGCGATGATTCCGCTCCACCAGCTCTCAAAGTGTGGCCGCTCCACCGATGGATCCTTGAACATCTTCAGCGGCCGTGGATGTGCTGCAATTGTTCGGAGGGGGGCATGGAAGTCTGCGTACGATTCTGACAACACTTAGGCGAAATGTTGCTCTTCTATGACTGATCGAGGGCGGACGGCGGGGTCAGCATGGTGTTTGAGCTGGCGTGATATGGGGAAGAAAGAGGAGGTGCGGGCGCGGGGGTCGGGTGTGGGGGGAGGATTATGTTTGGGTGGTGGGGGTAGGGAGCGGGGATGGGTACCAAGGAGATACAAAGGGAGGGCGGAACGGGTGAAGATGGAGGTTTTTTCTTTTTTCGTTTCGACAGGACAGAGGGAGGTGACGTCGTGGGACGGAGGAGCAAGCTTGGGGAATGGTAGGAAGGGGTCAGGCTGCACGCGGTGCAAATCTCAACGAAGTCGTGCAGCACGTCCTTTGGACGAGCCTGCATGCTCTTCACATAACACGCTCCCCGCGGTCACGAGCAAGTAGAGCCTAGGGATTATATACGAGCTGAGTCTCCCGGACGCGCTCGTGCACAGATCGTCGCAGATAGGGGCGCCTGGGCGCGCGCTCTCCATGACGCCATGACGAACATTTCTCTCTCGCGGGCTGTCCGTGTGCAGCGCGCGGCACAGGCGCTGCGGGATGTGATTTATTTCTGTAATAAAGTTATTTATATTCATAGATCAGTATTAGGACTCGGGCATACGTGCCACGCCGCATGGGCGTGTGGTAAAAGTGAACCGCGGGCGCTCAGCGAGAGATTCCTTCTTTCGACGATTCAGTTGTCTTTCGACGAGTTATCCAGCGTCGAGGTGATGTTCAAGCCGTAATCAGCCGGTCATAGATCGTCAATTAGGTACCATCTGCTGCTGTGCGACGCGTGATAAGTGCGGCAGTCGGGAAGGATAGGAAAAGAGCATATGGGCCGCAATGGAAAAGAGGTACTGCTTCTGAGCATACCGTGGCCAAGAACGAGTGTACGAAAGTGCTATGGCAGTGGTGGATGTGGAGTGAGGATATGCCAAGAGCCGCGAATGGCGGAGAGATTTGACATCTGAGGCATGCGTTCGAAGGACAAGACGATTCTGTAAGAGGAGGGTTGAGGAAGCTGACGAGGCTGAGGTGCGGCCAGAGATGGCATGCTCCGCTAAAGCGCAGATCCACTGACCGGATGCTACCGCTTCAATAGTTTTGTACGAGGGTAGAAACATGTCTGTTTTTGCGAATGTGGCAGGGATTCTGAATATACTTGTAGGGGAGAGCGCAAGAAGGATGGCTTTGCGAATACCGCCGGCATGCAACACCCGTAATTAGCGGGAAGAGTTGCCCTTGCTCATGCTCATTAATGGCCCGCCGTCCACGTCCATCTCTACAATCCCCACTGCGCCCCTCTCAAGCTGCCCCCTAACGGCACGTTGCTCCGACGTGCATCCGAGCTGCCCCTGCTCTCCGAAATTGATAGCAACAAATCGATGGCGACCTGAAAGCATCCCTGACCTGCATCACGGCGAGCTCGGCGGCGAGCTCCAGCGGGCACATAGAAATCGGAAAGCAGGCGGCTGTGGCCCGGAGAGCATTCCCCGCTTGCTCCCCGACTGCACGGAGACAACGAGGCAATGGGTGTAGTGCAGAAACGCGCGAGGCGCGACCACCATCCGCGGTCAACTGGAGGGTCACGCACGGATAGGCGAATGTGTAGAATGAAGCGGACACGCGCGGGAGTTTGAAGGTAAAGCGGTAGGCAAGCGGTGAAGGTGGAACGGCGCGGCTCTGGGAAGGTGTATGCAGAACTGGCCCGTGCTCATACAATCTGCCTCTCACGGGGAACAGTTCCTCGCTCGCCCCCCTCATCCCCCCAACCGAGTGAATCATATAGTAACGAACCGCTCTGCGCCTTAGCGAACCCTTTTCCCCCACCCACACCGTCGTCCATAGCCCCGCTCTTTATAAACAGCCAACCCCGCCGTACTAGCTTTCGTTCCTCTCCCCTCCTCACCCTTCCTCCCGACGCTCATCATGTCATCTTGACTCCTTTTTTTTTTCGTTCTACGATACCACCAACTCTCCAACATGTTTCCCACCGCCTCCCCCCAAACACCGTTCTTCTCTATCGGTTGCCCTACAGAGCCTCCCCCAAACTCCCTCGACGCTTCCGTTGCTCGCTTCACTCCTCCCGCTCCAAAACCTCTTACCCCCCCACCTGCTTGCAAGGGCCGCTCCAAGCGCAAGCCCAAAGGGATCATTCGCGTTGTACCCGATGGAACCCCTTGGACTTGTGCCAGGTGCAAAACCATCATCACCCCCGTCCGCCGTAGGGGATCGGGCGGCGTTGCAACGCTTTGCAACGTGTGCGGCTTGCGCCGCTCCAAAAATATCCGCGCCGCCCTCGAAGGGGGTATTTCCAAGAAGCGCGGGAAGAACGGGCCCAACGCCAAGGTCAAATCGAATGAACGCAAGGCAGTTGCGCAGAAAAAGACGTTCAAGAAGGCTGTTGCGCTGCAGCAACACCGACAAGATGTGCCAGTTGCCAACAATACGAAACAGCCTGGCCGCTTTGTTCACCATGGAAACGACCAACAACCGAATCAAAACACACCGGCGCTTCAGGAGCAGCCGGCCCGAGTCTCGCAGGCTGCTGGGCGTGTACACTACGTCATTAAGGAGGAGCAATGCGCGACAGTGGAGCAGACTGCGTATGGCATAGCGCAGCACCAGCCTCCCGCGCATTGGGAAGCACAGTACCAGCCTCCATATGGTTCCCCGGAAGAGCAATCTCCAGCCTCGGACACTTCATATGAAACTTACGCTGTCAACGATCACAACATCCCGGTAGAGTATTTGCCGGTCACCGCGCAGCACCAAGGGCGGGTTTATGGGGAGGCAATACAAGAGGAGCTCGCCGCAGCGGTCGGCTGGGAAGCCCAGAACAAATGCGTCCCTTGGCCGGTGGCAGGAGGCTACGCTCCCGATGGCCACATCACTGAAGGCGAGGGTGAAAGCCTACAGGGCAACGAAAATGGAGTATCACATCTATTTGGATCGATGACGTTGCACGCGAATGTGATGAGGACGCAGGAGATGCAGGGTGAGCATGAGGGCACGCTGGGCGATAGATATGAAGACCAAGTGTGTTCACCAGCACTCCCATTGTCGATGAGCACGGAGAGCGACGAAGTGCTGGCGGCAATCGCTTGCGGGATGGAGGGTGCTTCGCACATGACGGATGCGCCATCTCTCCTACCGTCGGCGTCGGAGCCGATGGCAGCGGGGTTGCAGCGGTGTCTACAGAGCATCGCTGGACGAATTGCATCACAGGAACTGATGCTGCACCGCCTGAACGAGGTGCAGTTTCAACTACTCGCCGACGGGAACATTGGAGATGCGGTGTCACAGGCGCGCCGGGAGATTGCGGGGCTGAGGGACTACGGTCGTGATACGATAGAAGTGATGAGGGGGTTTGCTACAGCTCTGCTTGGCGGAAGGGAGTGAGACGTGGGACCAAAGTTGGAGGAAAAGGCTTTAGTTGTAAGTAATGCGTGCTCATCGTGTGTTTGTCGTTCAGTAAATTTTTTTTGCGTGTTTCAAAGTGTGCGAAACGGGTGGTGTCGGTAGAGTTTGAAGCGAGAGTGCAGATGCGGCCGTCGCCGCGCTACAGTACGAGCGAGATGGAAGGGTTCGACCTGAACAGGTGGCGTTCACGCCACCTGCATAGAGCATCGCGAATGGGACATGGGCAACCTATCATTCGTAAGGCATGTGTGCGGGCAGCGAGCGGGACGCTGTATCGAGGGACGAGGGAGAAAGGAAAGGGTGGAAGAGGGACGGACGAGCGGGACGCTGTATCGAGGGACGAGGGAGAAAGGAAAGGGTGGAAGAGGGACGGACGTGGGAGAAGAGTGTCTGAAGAGTGTCACGGGCACCTCATTGGCATGTTGGCTTGAATGTTTGAAGGTCATTGCAAGAGCGGATGCGAGATTTCAACGTCACAGGAGTGATGGAAAAACTTGGACAAAGACGAGAAGAACGATAGAACGATACTGGTACAGTTGCATACATATCATATATACATACCGATCATAAGGCCAAAAGCCTCCCAGTGCTCCGTGGGGGAGGTTTCGACGGCTAGGTACAAAAAATCGCTGACGCGTCTCTCATCTTGTCAGACTTCGAATAATTGAACAACTGAAGGGGGGTTGCCCTACATTTTGGACAACGCCAAAATAGCTCGGATATGCAAATTATTTGAAAACAACCGTATGGGGAAGGTGGGGGGGCGCAGCGGCCGCGAGGAAGGGCGCGGCTCTACAGCGCTGGGAGGGGCCAGCTGTGGACGCGGAGTCGTGCGGTGTGACGCCCGCGTGTCGACGGCGCGAGCGCGTGCCATAGACTCACGATGCAGCGGGCGTCACGGGGTGGGGCGCGACTCTACAGCGCTGGGAGGGGCCGGCTGTGGACGCGGAGTCGTGCGGTGTGACGCGCACGTGTTGACAGCACGAGCGTGAGTCATAGGCTCACGGCGCAACGGGCGTCACGGGGTGGGGCGCGAATTTTGCGTTTTCGTGGGAGAGGCGTCGGACAGCAGCGACGGCGTCGGTCACCTTTATAATAATATTAAAAACGTCAATAAATGTTGCAGATTTCAATTGTATGTCGCCAATTTTTACAGCATACATCTACTTAACGGCGCGGGGGGGGAGAGAGAGGGGGACGCACACCGTCTTTCAGCCCACAAAAACTGTACGCATGTGATTTGGGACGCACCGTATATTTTCATAATCAATTTGAATCCAACACGTCACCCGCCGCCTGGAAACAAGATAACGACGTTGTGCTCTGTAGAGCATGACGTCATTGTTACTAGAGAAAGTTTTGGAATAATAAAAATAATGGCAACATTATAATAGTATATATGAAAAAAATTTCAAAATATTACACAAAGAAAGGCTGTACGATTTTCATTAAGGACATATATTTTCATCACCAATTCGAACATTACACGTCATCCCGCATTATAGAAACATGATTACTACGTCATGTTCATTCATTTACTGAACGCGGTTGTGCAGTCGTACTGCGTACTGCTGATGCTTTAAAATTTATTATTAAGGGATAAGCCACCGCCCTCAACGGACAATTAAAAAATTAAAAAAACCAGTTGGCATAAACTAGGCGCACTGCAAACAGAATACAAATCCTATTGTGGCGCCAATATGCCTATGCCCTTGCGTACTATTGGAAGGACTGGTTCATGCAGGAATTAAAAAAACAGAACCATCCCACACATACCAGCTGATATGAGTGAATGTATTAAATTATCATACTAAATGTAAGAATCACAACAATTTCACTTCTTTTAACTTGACGATGTTACGGTGGAGGAGTGTAGTTACAATTATAGAACTTTACCACAAATTGTCTTGTATGAACAGATAACATCCCCCATTTATGTGAAAGGTGTATCATGTTTGGTCAACATTCGTGTAGGGGTTGAAGGAAGGGAAAATGTTCACACGGTACATACCAGTACCCTGTAACGGGAACTCAACTGCGAAGATGTATCTCTACCACAGCTGCAGTAGGGTAAAAGGTCGCAAAGAAAGAACTTCCATGATGCCCCTTAATACGTGTAAAACACTCTCAAGTATAGTAAGAAATGCATGAATTGCAGCAAGATGATACCATCCCACTAAAACCATCACACATGTTTTGACAATATGCAACGTACGATATCATGCAGAGGGATACTTTCTACAGCAATAAGGTACAACCACCCACCCCAAGCACTTGTAAGCTGCCAAAATGCAGAGTCACGTCCATTGACAGAGCCTGCAAGGAGTAAAACAGACCCTATACCCATGGGTTGGACGGATGGGAGGTTAGGCGTCGAAATTGGCATCGCTATTGAAGATTCCTGGGATGGAAGGCCTACTGGCTCCATAAAATATCTGCAAAAATTATATCAAAGCACGGGCCAAAACACTCCCCACGCTCCGTGGCGGATGGAAGTCCCGAATCTCGGACGGAAGGCCTATTCGTCGGATGGAAGGTTTCATCGCTGGTTTCATCCGTGTCGCAGCCCTCGTTATGATCAATCTTGACATGGCACTCACCTGTTGGCTACTTTGAATCCCACTCTTCCTGCCTTTCAGGTTTGAATGCCCTTTTTCCCGCCTTAAACTGTATTCACTGGCTCTCTCTCTTTTGACTGCTGCTTTCCATCTAAGACACCCATCCATTGGCCATTCCCTCTGGAGACACCCATCCATTGGCCATTCTCTCTTGGGACACCCGTCCATTGGCTACAGAACTCGTACAACTATCACCGGCCAGTTGGGAGACTGCGTGTCAAATGTAGAGTGGAATTATGGGAGTTGCGAATGCCAACAGCGGCGGCAAGTCTGGTCGGACCATCACAGATCCACTGACCGGATGCTACCGCTTCAATAGTTTTGTACGAGGGTAGAAACATGTCTGTTTTTGCGAATGTGGCAGGGATTCTGAATATACTTGTAGGGGAGAGCGCGAGGAGGATGGCTTTGCGAATACCGCCGGCATGCAACACCCGTAATTAGCGGGAAGAGTTGCCCTTGCTCACGCTCATTAATGGCCCGCCGTCCACGTCCATCTCTACAATCCCCACTGCGCCCCTCTCAAGCTGCCCCCGAACGGCACGTTGCTCCGACGTGCATCCGAGCTGCCCCTGCTCTCCAAAATTGATAGCAACAAATCAATGGCGACCTGAAAGCATCCCTGACCTGCATCACGGCGAGCTCGGCGGCGAGCTCCAGCGGGCACGTAGAAATCGGAAAGCAGGCGGCTGTGGCCCGGAGAGCATTCCCCGCTTGCTCCCCGACTGCACGGGGACAACGAGGCAATGGGTGTAGTGCAGAAACGCGCGAGGCGCGACCACCATCCGCAGTCAACTGGAGGGTCACGCACGGATAGGCCAATGTGTACAATGAAGCGGACACGCGCGGGAGTTTGAAGGTAAAGCGGTAGGCAAGCGGTGAAGGTGGAACGGCGCGGCTCTGGGAAGGTGTATGCAGAACTGGCCCGTGCTCATACAATCTGCCTCTCACGGGGAACAGTCCCTCGCTCACCCCCTCATCCCCCCAACCGAGTGAATTATATGGTAACGAACCGCTCTGCGCCTTAGCGAACCCCTTTCCCCCACCCACACCGTCGTCCATAGCCCCGCTCTTTATAAACAGCCAACCCCGCCGTACTAGCTTTCGTTCCTCTCCCCTCCTCACCCCTCATCCCGACGCTCATCATGTCATCTTGACTCCTTTTTTTTTTCGTTCTACGATACCACCAACTCTCCAACATGTGACCAACAACCGAATCAAAACACACCGGCGCTTCAGGAGCAGCCGGCCCGAGTCTCGCAGGCTGCTGGGCGTGTACACTACTTCATTAAGGAGGATCAATGCGCGACAGTGGAGCAGACTGCGTATGGCATAGCGCAGCACCAGCCTCCCGCGCATTGAGAAGCACAGTACCAGCCTCCATATGGTTCCCCGGAAGAGCAATCTTCAGCCTCGGACACTTCATATGAAACTTACGCTGTCAAGGATCACAGCATCCCGGTAGAGTATTTGCCGGTCACCGCGCAGCACCAGGAGCGGGTATATGGGGAGGCAATACAAGAGGAGCTCGCCGCAGCGGTCGGCTGGGAAGCCCAGAACAAATGCGTCCCTTGGCCGGTGGCAGGAGGCTACGCTCCCGATGGCCACATCACTGAAGGCGAGGGTGGAAGCCTACAGGGCAACGAAAATGGAGTATCACATCTATTTGGATCGATGACGTTGCACGCGAATGTGATGAGGACGCAGGAGATGCAGGGTGAGCATGAGGGCACGCTGGGCGATAGATATGAAGACCAAGTGTGTTCACCAGCACTCCCATTGTCGATGAGCACGGAGAGCGACGAAGTGCTGGCGGCAATCGCTTGCGGGATGGAGGGTGCTTCGCACATGACGGATGCGCCATCTCTCCTACCGTCGGCGTCGGAGCCGATGGCAGCGGGGTTGCAGCGGTGTCTACAGAGCATCGCTGGACGAATTGCATCACAGGAACTGATGCTGCACCGCCTGAACGAGGTGCAGTTTCAACTACTCGCCGACGGGAACATTGGAGATGCGGTGTCACAGGCGCGCCGGGAGATTGCGGGGCTGAGGGACTACGGTCGTGATACGATAGAAGTGATGAGGGGGTTTGCTACAGCTCTGCTTGGCGGAAGGGAGTGAGACGTGGGACCAAAGTTGGAGGAAAAGGCTTTAGTTGTAAGTAATGCGTGCTCATCGTGTGTTTGTCGTTCAGTAAATTTTTTTTGCGTGTTTCAAAGTGTGCGAAACGGGTGGTGTCGGTAGAGTTTGAAGCGAGAGTGCAGATGCGGCCGTCGCCGCGCTACAGTACGAGCGAGATGGAAGGGTTCGACCTGAACAGGTGGCGTTCACGCCACCTGCATAGAGCATCGCGAATGGGAC